GAGATTTCTACCTGGGCTGGAACCTTCACGCAGATCTGCAGAAATAGTGTTGGTGGTTTTTTTGACTGCAAAGAAATAAGAATTGAGCAGGAATGCAGGAAGCTGCTTCACACCGGCTGAGATCAGGCATCTGCCCAGCCCTGTCGTGCCAGCTCTGTCGGGCAGCCGCGGCTCTCCAGAATTTGAAGCACGATACTTTCCCAACCGGGACCCTGGAGATCCTTGGCGTTTGCTGGTCATCTCCTGTCCGAGTACCAGCCAGGTCCAGCCCTGCTCGGCTTCCAAGACTGGACAGGAATGGGAGCCATTTAGAACGGTCCACAGCCTTTTGAGTCTAGGTGCCTCTTTCTAGGCTTGGCCTTATCCAGAAGAGTGGGTTCTTCTTCGCCTGGGGATGGCCTTGGTGACGTTGCCTGGGGCAGGCGGGCCGTTGGATTGCTGATCACCCCCCTCCAAAAAAATAAGAGCATCTTCTGAAATAACTATTTTACACCCTTCCCCGTTTTTGGTCTTGACAAGCCAGGGAGCCACGAAGAGCCGACGTGCAGGGTAAGAGGGTGCAGCATTTGGGAGCACGCCTTGCTTCCCAGACACTCAGTATTAAATATTCAGGAATGAAATTAAAAGTTCGAATCGCTGTGTGGCCGTGAGCACTTTCTCAAGTGAGAAAGGACCTCATTAAGCAAAAGTGATTAAAATGCTAATGAAGAAATGCAGAAATATGCAGGCTGAACTGAGCGTGGAACATGGAGTCACTGGCGCCCTATGTTTTGCCTCAGCTGCATTCAGAGGGGTGCGTGCGTGCGTGCGTGCTGAAAGAGTCCTGGCTCAGGGCGGAGTGTGGGCGGGAGGTGGGGGTCACTTGCCCCAAGATGGCCTGAAAGAGAGTCCTGGCTCAGGGCGGAGTGTGGGTGAGAGGTGGGGGTCACTTGCCCCAAGATGGCCCCCTCTGATGGGGGCTGATGGTGATGGACCGAGAAAAAGCAAAGAGGGCTCCTTCCATACTGCTCCATAGTACTTAAATCTCTCGCTGGGTGGTTCACAATTATGCTGGCAACACATTTCACACACACACACATACACCCCTCATCAAAGTGGGCACTCATTTTACCAACCTCTAATTATGCTGACAACATATTTCACACACACACACACATACACCCTTTATCAAAGTGGGCACTCATTTTACCAACCTCAGAGGGATATAAAGCTGAGTCGACCTTGTGCTGCCTACCTGAGCCGGAATTAAAACTCAGATCATGAGCAGGGTCTTCACTGCAGTACTGCAGTTTAACTACAGCACCACAAGGCTCTTTCCTCAATGCCCCCCACTTCCATGTTGAGTGGCATTTAATTTCTGGCTGCGTCTTAGCACTGACTGGATTCTCTTCTCTTCCTCCCCTTCCCTCCTCTCTCTCTCTCTCCAGCTTTGCTGCTGCTCTACGATGTGACAAACAGAGCATCCTTTGATAACATCCAGGTAAGTCTTGGTCACGGCCGGTGGCCTCAGCCCCACACGGCTGCACACCACATGGAAGGCAGAGCGAGGAGGTTGGGACGAGTAGCTGCCAATAACCAAGAGATCTGTTCTTCTCACTGGTGTATTGCGAGGTTGCCATCTCTCCCCACACGGCTGTCTTGCTCCAGCGCTCTGGAAAATCTGGTGTATCTCTGTCAGAGAGGCTGGAGCGTTGGAACTTGCCTGGTCTTGCTCCTTCGGAGGAGCACCATTAGGTTCCCAGCAGCTGGAGACTGAGCGCTTCGGGTTTTGCCGTTTTTCCAAACTCCTGGGATGCCGTTAGTCGGGGTAGGCTGTTTGGGCGAACGCGCCAAGAAAGTGGAGCATCTCAGGGAAGCGCTGACCCAGTTTTTGCAGGCCCCGGAGAATACGCAGAGTGGCCTGAAGGAAGGGAGTGCAGCTGAGCAGCGGGGCACAGATGTTTACGGGGCCCGGTTCCAGCCTTGGGTCTCCGGTTTATGGGTCTTGGGGGGGCACAGCTAGTAAAGGGGCATCCTATGCCTGAGTCTCCCTCGAGAGCCATTCCTTATGCGAGAAGAGAAGACAATCTCAGATTGGCAAGGCTCTGACTTGGGCAAGGCAGCCTCTGATGTCTGGGTTATTCCCGTTTTAAAAAAAGTATCTCCGTTGCTATCTTGTTAGATGTTTACTAAAGGGACTCACAATTCCAGCCCTCTCTTCCTCTTCAGATAAAGAGAAGGCGAGATATCTGGGTGGATTTGTGGGTCTTGCAACAACTCATAACTTGAGTTGTGAGTGAATCTCGGAGGGACGTCTCCCAAAAGATTTTGTCTTTCTTTAACTAAAGAGAAATGTGCTGTCACTGACTGGAAAAAGCCACTTAGTGGCTTAAAATGCACAGGGCTGCTGCTTCGTTAATGAGTTCATTTGTCTTTCAGGCCCTTCAGCAGATTTTGCTTTTGTCGTACAGCGCCAAACTGCAGTTAAAGTAGGTGAGGAGCTGTTTTCTCCACACCCTGCCTCCCAACAACCACAGGAGGAAAAGAGCCTGTCCTTTCCCCAGTTTTGGGGGAAAGCCAGAGCTCAAATAGACCCATTGAATCAACTCTGCTGCTCGTTTAGTTGAGACAGACTCCTGGATTCCAGCCATGAGCAAATAATGCACTGAATACGATGGCTGGTTGGGCCCATGATGGCAGATTTCTGATAACGTTCCTGATACTGTGGTTCTCCTGTTGGCGGTCCCTTCGGCTGAATTCCTCTTTATTTAAAAAAGCAAATGTTCTGAAACCGAGGAGCTTATAATCCCAAGAATACTGTCTGTCAGATTCTTTTACGTTAGCATGAATGGCAAATCCATGCTATGTATAATCACCATGCTGGCCGTGGGAAGAGCCACGTGGTAAAACTGCCACAGTTGGTTGGAAAGAGGAGGCCAGTAAGTCCTTTAATGATCTCTCTAATTTATCTTTCTGCTCCCTCAAAATTGGCTCTGTCTGGTTCAGCAAATTATCAGCTGCCGGGCAGTTTTGGATGCTAATGAAATTTCCGAGCTGTGCTTCTTTCTTGTGTTCCTTCCTGAACTATTCTTAGGCACCTTGGCACCTTTTTGGCTCAGTCTGGTTCTGCCGGTTCTTTCCGAGAGACCACAGCCGATGGTCTGCTCCAAACACACCTACATTTGCGAAGCCCTTTCGATCCCAGCCGGGCGGCGGGGCTGGCCCGGTTCCTCACCTGAGGGTGAGGCATGTCGAGTTCATAATTTGGCCATGGTGGAGAGACACTTCCCACTGAAATGGGACCCCATGGAAAGGGTTTTGAATTCTCTGCAGCCTCCAACTCTCCACCTGCCAAATGTCATTCCACCACGATAGGATGTTTCGACGCTCACCGGCTGGGTGTCCCCGATCTCCAGAAAGCACATCGTTCAGAGTCCAGCCACTTGGGCCAAAGAAATGAGGAAGAAATTTAAAGAAATGGCGTGGGGAGGTGGTGGTTCTCGTCTTGCTCGCCTGCTGGCACTTCCCGACTATGTTGGTGGTGCATGCCTGCGAACTGGGCCTCCATTCGGAGTTGCTTGTGCTCATGGGAATTGTAGTCCAGTGTCCCCAAATGGTTCCAGGTTGGGAAAAGGTTATCCAGTGCTTTTGGAGGTACTCTTCTGTTCCTGAAGTAGAAGTTAGCTTTTGGAGAACGTTTTCCTGCTCACAGCCTCATCAGTTGTGGCTCCAGTTGGAGTGGAAGGTTCCTGCAACCCTCCGGGAAGAGCAGAGCAGCTTTTAAACCAGTTAACTGTGCTGTGCCCAGAGCCTCCCTGTGCGTTGCTCCAAGCAGGGTGATTTCAGGTTCCATCTCCCTGTTTGCTTTCTATGAGCTTCTGCCTGCCTCGGACGGACCTAGAAGCCAGGGGTGTTTAAACTTACTCGTGCTTCCAGATCTCATGGTCAGAGAGAATGGCTCCGGAGGCTGCTGTCCCTCGCCACCCTGCTTCCCCACCCCAATGAAAAATCTGTTTATGGAGCTAAAGATGGAAGAGCTGTGCAGGGCCTGCTAACTGCCAGCATCAGGCATTCTTCATGAAGCCTTTCTCCCTCTCTCATCATGCTAGAACTCAGGGTCACCAAAGGCATCTTGTTGGCAGTCAGTTCAATAGAGATTAATCTGTTAATTTAAATGGAAGCCTTTTGCAAGGCTTAGCCGTGGGAGGTCTCTCAAATGGGAGCTAACAAATGAAGCTGATTAGCAGTCAGTTCAAGGCAGAAGAGAGCAAGGATTCTGCTCATGGGTTTTCCAGAACCATCTGCCTGTTCCCTGTTGCAAATGCCATGCTGGGTTGCTTCAGAGGAGGCCATTTTGTTCCTAAAATTTATTAGTCACCTATAAGCTAGGAGCTCACAGGAGGGCATATGTTTAAGATAATGTATACAATCTCTGTTAAAAAGATAGAATAGGCACGATATATAATCAAAGGCAGGAAAGTCCAGAAACATGTAATTTTAAAAAACTACAGTACGACCCTCATATCCATAATTGTAGGCAATTATGGATTCACTTATATTTCACTGTCTGAAAATATTAAAAGAAAAAAATGAGAAACACAGATTTCCACAGTGTAATTACCAGAAGTGGCCACTAGATGGAGTCAGAGCCCATGCTATGTATAGGGTTCGCTATTTTCTGCAGGTCTCAGTACCTGCAGCCCTAATGCATTCAAAACAGCACGATGGCAGAGACCTATTGGGGGATTAAAAGCCTAAAGGAACAGAAAGAGCTTTGCTTGGTGCTGCTAATTCGTTGCTTGGCAGATCTTGGCAAGGAACTGATTCCAAGGGCCTGGTCATGAAGATGATACAGTCCTGGCACAATATGAACACATGCCCCGTCCCTGTCCGTCTCCTAGCGGCCACCTTTTGTACAGGCTGAGATTCTGGACCACCCCTTTGAGGGCAATGCCAGACCCAACACACTCATTTAAATGGGGCACAGATCACCGGAACGGAGATTCTCTTTATTCTGGTTGAGGCCACGGTGCATCAATGCTGCACCCTACAGGGCGTAGGGCTGGGCTGGATCCACGACGCACAGAATCTTGTGTTCTTTCGCGAGGTCTTCTTCACCCGGTTGCAGAAGGTGCAGCCTGAGCCCTCCGTGGTTAGCTGTGGAGAATGCGGTTCATCCTTTGAGCACAGAGTGAGTTCTGCCGTCAGCCGGGACTCCAGTACTGGTGGAGATCTGGTTGACGGGCCCTGGGCAACCGTTTGGCCAGTTCTGGGGGGTGGGGGTCATTCTGTTTGTCTTCCAGGTCTCAGGAACAGGGGCCGAGTGCCTCAAACCGCACAGAGTGCTTCTCCCTGTTGACTTGGAACCATGTTGTGCCTTGGCTAATGAAACTGGCCCACGTGCAACGGAGTCTGGCCCTTGACCTGCCTAGCCCAGGACTAGCCACACCGGCAGCTCTTGGGTTATGGGCTGGATTCTGTCCCAGACCAACCTGGAGATCCCTAGGGAGCCCCTGTCCATGCAGTCACCAGGGCCAACCTTCCTGAGCGCCCGTCACGGGCCACGTCGTCTGTGTTCAGGGCCGGACTGACCTGTGTCAGCGAAAGGCATCCTCCAGGGATGGGCCTCTATTGTACTTGCAGGATCCTTGCTAAAGAAAACCATTTCTTGGCTCTGCAAACTTACCAAACTAGGGACTGCCTTCCAGTTTACCCACAGGTAGTGCATTGAGTGATGGATGAGGTCTTGGGAGACCAGGATTCGAATCCCTGTTGGGCCATGGAAACTTGGGAGGAGGGCGGCGGAGCTGGTGAAGCCATTCTTGAAATATCTCACTCGCCTCCAAAGCCCTGCGAGGGTCACTCCTAGGAAAGGCCCTTTCAAAACAACCTGTTTGAGCCTGGCCAGGTGGGTGCCCTCGTGTCGCTCTCCCCCCTCTTTCTTTTCTCAAAGCTCCAGAGAGGGGGGGAGATGAGTGAGAAAACCAGCAGTGGAGCCTGTAATTGCCCGCCATCTCTCGGCTGTTTCTGCAGGAATTAAATTGCAAATGCACCTTTTGCCAGCCCCCCTTAATCAATGTCATTATTACACAGAGGAAAGGAACAGGCCCTCTCGGGCAGCTGGCGGCCTCTCTCTCTCTCTCTCTCTCTCTCGCCCTATTAAGTCATTTTGCTTTGCCTGCTGGTTTTTGTGGCGGAAAATGGGATTTAATAAGGTTCCTAATTGCTTTGGCCTTGGGGGTGCTTTGCTCTCTCGCTCTCTGCGTGTGGATGCACACGGAACACGTCAGCGACAACAGCTGGCTGATGGGTGGCGTGTGCCCAGCATGCGTGCCTAGAACTTCCCTGCACGGAGGAAAAGGAGGCTCCCTGTTGACTTGTGTGTGTGTGGGGGGGTTAGATACATGCACCATCGTCTTAATTAAATCCCAAGCCAGCTAATGACAAAAAGGACCTAGAAAAACAGGATAGGAAAAATGCAATCTGAAAGCAGTATCAACAGCGGCAAGAAAAAGCAGCCGCCAGCAGCAGCGGTGCAGGAAGGCCAACAGAAACCCTTTGAAAGCCTTTCGAAAGGACAGCACCCAAGGGGTGGCGCCCCTTTTGTTGCTTCTTTGAAGGGGGCAAGGGAGGGCAGCCAGGAGTAAGGGAGACAGGCGGGGCCGCCTTGGTTTGCTCGGCTGACATCTTTCCCTTTCCTTTAAACCGAAGTGCTTCTTTCAGTGTGGAGAGCACAACGGGCGCAGCCATGTCAGCATTTCACGCTCCGAAGAGCCGGTGTCCTTGTTTTTAACTGGTCTTGTTGCCACAATCTTTTTTAAGCTTCCTGTTCAAAGAGGGGCCTCTGGATTTACGGGTGGCACCGGACGGTGTGGCGCCCCACCTGGCACCTTTCTAAATAGTGATAGAGAGACTCCCATGTGGTTGGGGAGGGGGCTGGTGCAAGGAAGCGGTCGTGGAGCCAACTTGAGGAGGAGCCTCATCCTGACAGCAGGATCTCTTTCCGCCGTGGAGCGCTCCTTCCTCAGGGGCTGTTTTTTATTTCCAAGTCCAGCCACCAGATGTGCTGTGATTGTGGTTCTTCTGCGCTGGCAGGGAGCCGGACCGGCCAACCTGTGTGTGAGTTTATGGACGAGTAACGGTTTAGGCACATGCCTGGCAAGTGTGGAGTCGGGTCGAAGGGGGAACCATGAATGCCTGCAAGGTTCTTCAGGGGGCGACCCAAGCAAGGCCTCTGCCCGGCTTGCATGTTATCACAACCAGGTTTGTTTGTCTTTTGTTGTTGTCACATAAGGAGGGGCTTCTGCCATCTCCGAAGGTGCTCTTCATTTCAGCCCTCCTGCCTTCGGTCTGCCAGGTGTGTTGCCCACGCCAGTGAGCCCTCCACCACCACGGCAGCGTCTCTCTGGCACCATCTCCTGCCCAGATCCATTAACTGTGTGCTGAGCAAGAAATGCCGTGCCCCGCCAAGCTCAGTAACGTAAGCTTAGCAAAAAAGGGACGGAACTGAGCTCAGCCCGTTGGAATTAGCAATACATTTAGCAGAAGCCGTGTGGAAGGACAGAGGGTCTCCCTTCTTGCAGGAGCTTGCTTTCCTCCCTGGGTGAAAAATATAAATTCCAGCATCTTTGGCTAATGCAGGACGGGTGACTTTGCTGTGGTCGGACGACGTACCAAACGCATGCCTTGCCCACGAGGCTCGCTCCAGGCCCAACCAGACCACTTCCTCGGGTGTCAAAGGCTGCAATCATATTTCTGAGGAGGATCGCAAGAACCCCTTTTCCCGGCGGCAGCTGTTCTGAGAAAACTGCAGGAAGAGGAACAGTCCACGTTCAGCAGACGTGTGCCAAAACAGGCCTGGCCGATGCCTACACACTCTCGTCTTTGTTTTGCAAGGCGTTTTCACGGTAGCATCCTGGTGGCAGCTGTTCTGAGAGAACTGCAGGAGGATAAGTGCGCGTTCATCAGACTTGTGCCCAAAACAGGTCTGGCCGATGCCTACACATTCTCGTATTTGTTTTGCAAGGCGTTTTCACGGTAGCAACCGGAAGGGCCAACCCTCCAAGCTGGAATTCCTAAAGAAGCCCAACATTACAAACCTCCCCTTATCTTTTAGAGAGGAAACAGTTTGCAAAGCAATACAAGGGCTGGTAACCAGCAATGCTCATTTATTTGTTCCTTTTTCTTGTTATAAAGCGGGTGGAGGCGGGGAGCAATTCCGGGTTCTTTCTTCCTTTTTTGCAAGGCAGGATTTCTTTTCCTGAGAAAGCAACTCAAAAGTAACCCGCTGCGTATCCCATGCAAGAAGGGGTTATGTTTCCTTCTGTGGTGAGAACAAATTGCTAGAGTGTGGGGTGGAGAGACTCTTAATACGTGGCATACATAATCCCTTCCTTTTAAAAAATAAAATAAAATAACCACCTCTTTCCAACCTAGAGTCATCATCAGCCACAGAAGGGGGGAAAACGGATTCTGATGGATGAACATGTCTTAACAGCCTTTTCCTCTCTCCTGGGGTGTCTCCTTCACATTCTCTATTATTAATTCCCAGGATTATCTGGGAGCAGCCATGGCAACTGAACGGGTACAAAACCAACTGTAGAAGCATAAGGTAGCTTGAGGCCACCTGCTTTGAAGACTCAGCCTGGCGTCGTTGGACTTGGTTTGCAAAAATCAGCCTTCCAGGTCCATCTCCAGTTCCAGTGATGGAACTCTCTTGCGCTGGGGCTTCTGCAAGCCATCCACTAGGAAAGCACACCTGGGGGAGAGCTCACCAAGTCTCTGAAAGGCCCCCAAGGAAAGGGAGAGACCCACCACCACCCCAGTCGTCTAAAGCAGTGGTGGCCAACCCTGGGCCTCCAGGTGTTCTTGGACTTCAACTCCCCTGGGGGGGAGCTCACCAAGGCTCTGAAAGGCCCCCAAGGAAAGGGGGAGACCCCACCCCAGTAGTCTAAAGTTTTCAGTGTCAAACGGCTTTTGCTGCCAGGAAATTTGCTGGAATCTCCTTGCTTGCAAATTGAATGTGTTGGTTGAGGCCTAAGGTTGGGGAACAATGGTCTAAAGTATTCAGTGTCAAATGGCTTTTGCTGCCAGGGAATTTGCTGGAGCCTCCTTGCTTGCAAATTGAATGTGTTGGTTCCAACCCTCTGGAGTGGCAGAAGACGGAGTTCACTCTCATCTTCCACGTGGCAGATCTTGAAATACAGGCTTTTCCAGCTGCTGGACAGGTTGTTTTCCTTAGGCTTTGAACTGACTTACAGAATAGACCTTTCTCATGGATGGTCCTGGTTTTTAGTTTTGCTCTGGTGATCTCTTTCAATTTGTTCCCCCCTCCCTTCTTCTCTGCTAGGCCTGGCTCACAGAAATCAATGAATATGCAAAGCAAGACGTGGTCCTTATGTTGCTGGGAAACAAGGTGAGCTGCCTGGCTTCGGATCCATCAGCAGAACATGCCAGATGCGAGAGGGGAATGGGGCCCATTGGCAGTGGTGGTGGTGAAATAGGATCCTGGGGGTGGTCGCGGCTAAAGGCTCTTTCATATTGCAAAAGGCATGGTGTGTGTGTGGACGGCTGCACATCCACTCAAAGCACTCGCATGCTAGTGATGCAGTTCAGTTCTGACTCTGCCCAGAGATGGGAAGCATTGCTAAGCATGGATCGATCTATCGATCTGTGGAGTATAACTCCCCCAGAATGTTGGGGTTATAGTAAATAATTGTAGCCATGATCTGGTGCCGTGAACCCAAACTGGAAGTGCTGCTGGTTTTGGGCCGGCACCCTCCACGGCAACTTATAATGCACTGTTGCTACAACCTGTTGTTGTCTTTCTGCCACTTGCAGGTGGACTCTACCCAGGAACGAGTGGTCAAACGGGAAGATGGAGAGAAACTAGCCAAGGTAGAGGAGACGCACAATGTCTTAGCACTGTGGGTACTCATGAAAAGCAATTGAAACTCCAAGGGAGGTCAGATTAGTTCCACCCACTGTGGGTCCCGTGCCCATTAAGGAGGTTGGCACACAGGCGTCCAACATCAAACTAGGTCCGGGGAAGTCCAACTTCCAGAAAGAGGAGCAAGAATCATCATCATGCCCCTTAGGATCGGCTGGGTTAGACCTTCTACAGGCGTCGTTGCTGGACTGACAGGACAAATCTGCTCCAGAGACAGCCGAGAGAGGAGTTAAGCTTGTACTGTAGAGAGTAGTGGCTTTGAGGTGATGGGGCAACAAGATTCCTCTGTTTGGTCCAAGCGCTTCCTTCTGTTCCCTCTTTCTTGGCATGGTGAAGGACGGATCCTGCTCCATCTCAAGACTCACTGTGGGATTTTAAGGAGGGAGGGGCAGCAGCCTGTTCAAGGAGATCAGCTTGCTTGCAGAAACCGTCCCTCCATGGCCAGTTCTTGCCGGGACCTTTTGTATTTGACACTGGGCTCTCCTGTTGGAATCTGAGGATTCTGATTTAGTAGCAATGATGCCAGAGTCTGGAGGGGTTTGTAGAGAGAGGTGATGAGAGTTAAAAGGCAGGCACTAAATATTGCTTTTGTGTTTGTGCGTGCAGGAATACGGAGTGCCCTTTATGGAGACCAGTGCCAAGAGTGGCTTGAATGTTGACTTAGCCTTCACCGCCATCGCCAAGTAAGGCGTTTTGTTTTGGCTTCTTTAGACTCCTTTCTAAAAACAGCTCTTTTAATGGCAGCCGGGGGGGGGGGAAGGACTGCCAGCTGTCTGTCCGGTCTTTTCATTAACCGATTATCCTCTCATTGGCCTGCAAAGAATAGGGCTTTCTCAGTGGTGGCCACCATGGAAGTTCTCTCTTCCTGTGGAGGTACATCAGGCTCCATCACTCCTTGACTTTAGGAAAGAAAGTAAATACATGTTTCCTTTGGCTTTTCATAGGCTTGCCCATTTAATTAATTTTTGGTTTTGTCTCTCTTGCATTTATGATGACCCATACTTTTATAGGTTGAGTGTTTGGTTTGACGCCAGCTTGTATCTTAATATCGTTTTCTTACATACTGAAGTTGGGTGGTTTTTCCCTTGCCTAGTAGCTTCTCATTATTATTGAATTTTACCTTATCTTGCTGATGTTCCCATTATAAAGCTGCCCAGAGTAGAGGCCAAAATCTTTGGGTTAACCGTTTGGGGCATGGTGGCATCCTCCTTTTCTGCCAGAAGCAAGTAGCAACCTACTACAGTGGCGCCCCGCGCTTCAACGATCCCACATGACCACAATCGCAAAACGATGGTTCCTATGGGTTTGACGACCCCACATGACCACAATCGCAAAACAATGGTTCCTATGGGATTTTTCGCTTTACATCGATTAGGTCCCTGCTTCGTGAACCGTTTGTTTGCAAAATGATTTTTCTGGCTCCGCAAAATAGCTGTTTTCTGGACAGAAGCTTCAGAAAACAGCGATTTTAAACAGCTGATTGGCAGTTCATCGCTGGATGATGAGGTATTTCCCCACTGGGATGCATTGACCGGTTTTCAATGCATTCCAATGGGGTTTTTTTCGCATGAGCGTGGTTTCGCAAAATAGCTGTTTTCTGGACAGAAGCTTCAGAAAACAGCGATTTTAAACAGCTGATTGGCAGTTCATCGCTGGATGATGAGGTATTTCCCCACTGGGATGCATTGACCGGTTTTCAATGCATTCCAATGGGGTTTTTTTCGCATGATTTCGTTGTAGTGACTTTGACAGAACGGATTATCGTTGTCGTGCGGGGCACCACTGTACTCCAGAGTAAGAGTCCTGTTGTTTGAAGCCCTCTGTGGTTTTTGTTTTTATTTGCAGGGAGCTCAAGCACAGATCCATGAAGCTGCCCCACGAGCCCCGGTTTAAACTCCATGACTACGTCAAGAAGGAGGTGAAAAGCACGGGCTGCTGCCGATCGTAAGCCAAGGAGGCGCCTCTGGCCTTCAAGGTGGCATCCCTTGTACAGAGAGGCTGGCAAGGAGCGTTTCTCACCCGGCTGCAACCACACATGCCCCACACCACCTCCCACCCACCGCAGAAACTACCTGTCTGTTTTGTGTGTCTTGTCTATCTGTCCAGGTGAAATGGGGCAAGGAGAAAAATCTGGACGCAGGAGAGGGGCGTCTGTGCTTTCCCCCACCCCCCCAGAGCAGCCACGTACGGCTAATTTGATTCTTGTTACTTTTAAATTTCATTTTAAAGCATAAGCGGAGTTTAAAGACAAACTCAAGGCAGGCCGTTTAACTAGGACAGGGACCGAACGTCCTCCTTCAGCCTGCAAAGGGAGGGTCCTACACAAAAACTGCTGGCCAAAACAGGCCGACGTGGGCAACTTGCGCGCATTGCCGTGGCACTTCCGTTCCCTGGCGGACCACGTGCCTTGCTCTGGGGCAGCTTGTGGGTTGCCAGTGTTGCTCTGGACTTCAACTGTAACATCAGGGTTAAGGAGGAGCGAAACCTGGCATTCTTTTGTGCTTGGGTTCAAAAACAAGAGCAGGGACTTAGCTGAGGCTTGTGAAATAGACCACGGGGAGAGCTCCAGAATAGTTTCTCCCAACATGCATTTTGGGGGCAGGTCAACCCAGGGGAGAAAAGAAAACAACCCATCTGTTTTAATCTACCACCGAGAGCCCCTTCCAGTTAACCCACAACCACAGGCACTTTGGGTCCATTTCAAGGTTTGGTGTTGGTTTTTTTGGACTTATTTTGGAAGGGGTGGGGAGAAATGTGCAATACAAAGAAAGCTGGTTTTGTATATCTGAAATAACTGTATTTTTAAAGTAACGTTTTTCTTGGCGGTCATTTCTATCATTTTCCTTGGTGCATCTTCTGCATCCAGTCACAAGGGACATTAGTTTTGCAATGGTTGATGAGGATATGCTGGTGTTCCCTGGGCAGGCACATGGTGGGGAGGAGGAAAAAAAGATCAAGGCTAAGCAGGGCCACCTTCTGCAGCAAGGGGGGGGGGAGAATCTCTCCTCGTGCAGATGAGCAAAACCAGTTGGGAAGATGCTGGGTGAGCCAGGACAGTCTCCTGCTTGCTAGGGTAAGGAGGCAGTTTGTTTCTTCCTTCTACTGTGCCAATTTTTCAGCCAGCTCTTTTCCTGTGTTCCAAGGGGAACAAGTCTGTTCTGTTCTCCGGCTCCAGTCTCTCTGTGGTTGAAGCGACATATTTTAGGGACCAAACAGCAAGAGGAAGGGCACCCCTGGTTCACGAATTATTAAGCAAAGTACTAGCTTGTTCAAGCCACGGCATTTTGGTCTCGCCAAGGGAGCCAGGCTCCTACAAACACACCTTACGGTGCCAGCCAATGTCAGGAGCAAGCAGTATGTACATAACGTGCTTTGCACCTCCCAGAGGCCGAAGCTGTAAATATACACATCTAAATGTCAATCATCCCAAGCTTTCTTCCTCAAAATGTAGGTTTTTGTGCGTACAACAAAGCTGAACTTTCTGATTTGAAGGCAATTCCTTCCTCAAGGCTCTGTGCTGGACTTTCTTACCACTCCCAATGAAACTTTTCTAAGTACGCCATGCACCAGGGCCAGCCTGCATGTTGTGTGTGCCCAGCTCTTAAGCTTCAACCATCACCTGTACGCCCACCAAGGGAAACTGGTTGCTTGTCGGATGCGATTCAGGTTGAGTTTTGTATTGGACCAGGGCTCCCCTTCACCTATAATTTGACTCCTGCCGCTCCCATTTCAGTACAAAAGTATGGATACCCTGCCAGGAGGGGTCCGGTCTGTTATTTTTTTCCCTACATGGGCCTTTGCTACTCTCACCCAATGACCCAGCCCTCTCCAGTCCCTAAGCATCTTGAAAGAGGAGTGTTATTTATGTAGTACAAAATTCCTGGCTCTGTTTATAGCATTTTTGGGTTTCCTCTTAATAAAAGATTTTTTAATGACACTGTCGGACAAGTACTGTATGTTTCAGAAGAAAAAAAAATGCAAAAGTTTGCAACTTATCTTCACGAATGCCTGCTCCATTTTAGAGACCTGTACTTCCGCACCTTTATTTAGTAACTGTTTCCATGACTTCCTCAGATCAGGTATGGTTAAAGCCAAGACTTCCTTCTGAACTAGCAGTGGCCGAAGCCTTGGCTTCTGTGCCTGGGAATCACATTGGAGGCAGAGAAGGGAAAGCTTCGGCCAGCGTGAGATCCTCCTCCTGCTCCCTTGGGAGTTCTGAGCCTGTTTTGCAAAGAAACTCCCTCTGTTCCAATCCCATTCCTGCTCTTGTTTCAAAACTATGCCCAACAGACACGCTCGAGGAAAAAGGCAGTTACCGTTTGGGAAGAGTTGGTTGCCAAACCCCAGACATCACACAAATGACACAGCCCATCAACGTAATTGTGGAAATAACTTTTATTTTTGTCTCCTGAAACAAGATGTGTTACTGTTGTGTCAATCTGGCTTCTGAGTCTTATCCAGCCTCTCACACCTTTACCTGCTTAGGACTGTGTCTCCAGAAAGGGAATGAAAAGCTTGTACATTCAGGGCCCTAAAAGTGACAGAGCCGGAGTGCCAGAAGTCACAACGGCTACAATACTTGGCAAGACAGCCTTCAGCAGCTCATGCCCATTCCAGCAACCTGTCTTGCTGCCTTGAGCAAGGGGGCTGGACTTGAGGGCCTTATGGGCCCCTTCCAACTTCATTCTTCTATGGATACTTCCTCCTCCTGTCCAGAGTCCACTTGCTGCCAACAGGCACCATACTGCGAATTCTACAAGCCATGCAGCCCTCCCACGAGGCCTTCAATTTCGCATGGCTTCACCTACACACTCTGATGCCCAATACAGGCTTGTCTGCTGTTTAGCAAGCTTTCACTTAAACAAAAAAACAAAAGGGGGATGAACAGATGAAGGGCAAAACATTACCACCCCAGGACTTGCAGGCATTTCCGTACGATCAGGATGCAACGGCTTCCCCCATCCTTGCTGATCCAGACAGCCACCACTCTGATCACAACGGTGGAGAGGTAGGGAAGAGACACTCGTGGGGTGGCAGTGGCTGCCTCAAAAGCAGTGGAGAAGCTCTAAGCAGACCGGCGTCCTCAGAAGAGTCACTTACTGCAATGGAATCACAGCTTTCCAGAGAGATGACAACACCTCACGCCTAATTACTTCATATTTGCCTAGTATGTAAAAGTGACAGGACACCAGAAATCATACCGATTCCATGGTTATTCGGATTTCTGATAAGCAAGAGGAGTTGTAATGTTTAAATCATTAGATTTATGGGGAAAAGAGGAATATTAACTCTAACCTCAGCTTGCTATCTTATGCCAAACTAAGGTGAAACACTGAAAACCTCAAAGCAACCAGTTAATGCCAAGAAATAGGTACAATTTAAGCTCCTTACCTGAACTCCTTTTTGGGGTGGGCTACAAACAGACCGCCTCGGCTGATAGGGTCTGAGTTTATTTCTCAACATCACTAATGTAGCGTATTGTTTCTAAAACTAGTCTGGAAGACATTAAAAGTAGCATGAGGAACAGGATAAATTTCTGGCCATAACATTCTAGCTATTTCTAAAGCATTTTATTTTTTAAAAATTGCATTTTCAAGCCTTATGCTATTCTTTTCTCAATTCTAAGGTGTGTCAAAAAGTCTATTTCGTAATTCACCACACCCTGACTTCTATCCCCCGTCCCATCAGAAGAGTATAAGGTCTGGAAAATACCAACTGTATTGGGGCAAAGTTGAATGCAAACGCCACACGCAGTGCAAGACAGGCTTTGTCCTCACAGGCGTGTAATGGGTGCTAAGGATTCTCCCCATATTCAGGGAGTGGGGGCGTGCACGCAGAGGCACCGCACATGAGCCATTCAATTATTTAACCTCACCACAGAAAACGACGGTCTTCTTAATAAAGCTTTGACGATGTTCGGTTCCAAGAAAACCTGTCCTCTTCTGTTACCAACTTCCCTAAAAGGAAAAAATTATGTACACGCCTGTCAATTGCACCTTTTTGTTTTGAAAAACACACGAACAGTTACTGGTGAAGGGATTTTTCAATTCCAGCTTGCCCCAGAAGGAGCCACTTCTTAAGTCACTAAGCCTCAGCTCGTCTCTGTAATCAACAACCGCAAGCAGTTTTCATACTAACCCTATTTCAAAAAGGTCATCATCGGCTAGTGTTTGGAAGTTAATAAGAACCTAAGGAAGTTCTAACTCAGTTCACCAAAAACCACATTTTAAACTCACCTGCACAAAATGTTGCTTGATGGATCAGTGACAGAAAATACCTGGAAAAGAAAAAGTCATCTCACTTGTGGGGAAAAAACAAAACAGGAAGGTTTTTTTTTTTACAATACAGCCTGAATGCAGCCTGGAAGTTTGGAGATTTAGGGCTAAATCCAATTGTTTGTCCCAAATAAAACAGACCGCCTCGGCTGACAGGGTCTGAGTTTATTTCTCATCATCGCTAACGTAGCGTATTGTTTCTAAAACAACTAGTCTGGACCACTCAGGAAAAGCAGCACGCATGCACACACACACAAAGGGATCAATGCTTGATGAGTAATACAGTTGAAAGTAATTCAAGCCGGAGCTTTTTAGATGTCCACACTGCCACTATTTTTAGACATCTTGAGACTCATTTCCCATGGCTTCACCTACACACTCCATTGCCCAATACAGGCTTGTTTGCCGTTTAGCAAGCTTTCACTTAAAAAACAAAAGGGGATGAACAGAGGAAGGGGAAAACAATGTCACAACAGGGCTTGCAAGCATTTATGTACGATCAGGATGCAGCAACGACTTCCCCCATCCTTGCTGAGCCAGAGAGCAAGCACCCTGATCACAACAGCGGAGAGGCAGGGAAGAGAGGCTCGTGGAGGGGCAGTGGCTGCCTCAAAAAGCCCTGTGCACGTTTAACCCAACACCCTGTGTGTTCATCAGTCATTACCAAAATGTGATCATGACAGCAATGTGCCTTTGTTGGCAGATTCTAAACATGGGAGGATTTCAAACAAGAACCACCTGCTTGCCAAGGCCAGGGCCCGGGCAGGCTTACCTGCAAGGAGGATTTAGCTCCATCCTCTGCTTGCTATCTTATGCCAAACTCAGGTGAAACACCGAAAACTCAAAGTACTGTAACCAGTAATTGCCAAGAAAAAGTTACAATTTAAGCTCCTTACCTGAACTCCTTTTTGGGGTGGGCTAGGAGTGTGGCTAAGCTGATGTTAAAATTAGCATGAGGAACAGGGTAAATTAATTTCTGGACATAATAACTTTCTAGCTATTTCTAAAGCACTTTAAAAATTGCATTTGCAAGCCTTAAGTATTCTTTTATCAATTCTAAGGTGTGTCAAAAAAAGTTACAATTTAAGCTCCTTACCTGAACTCCTTTTTGGGGTGGGCTAGGAGTGTGGCTAAGCTGATGTTAAAATTAGCATGAGGAACAGGGTAAATTAATTTCTGGACATAATAACTTTCTAGCTATTTCTAAAGCACTTTAAAAATTGCATTTGCAAGCCTTAAGTATTCTTTTATCAATTCTAAGGTGTGTCAAAACAAAAAGTATTTAAAAATTGCATTTGCAAGCCTTAAGCTAGTCTTTTATCAATTCTAAGGTGTGTCAAAAAGTTTATTTCGCAATTCACCACACCATGACAACTATACCCCTGTCCCATCAAAAGTTTTAGATCTGGAAAACCCCAACTGTATTGGGGCAAAGCTGAATGCAAACGCCCAACATAGTGTGAGATAAGCTTCGTGCTCACAGGCATGTAATGGGCGTTGATTCTCCCAGTATTTGGGGAGGGCGCGTGCGCGCAGAGGAACCGCACATGAGCTGATCAATTATTTGGCCTCACCACAGAAAATGGGGGTCTTCTTAATCAAGTCTTCATGATGTTTGGTTCCAAGAAAACCTGTCCTCTTCTGTTACCATCTTCTTTCCCTGAAATTGGAAAATATATACACACATGTCAATGACACCTTTTTGTTTCCAAGAACAGTTACTGGTGAAGGGATTTCTCAGTTCCAACTTGCCCCAGAAGGAGCCACTTCTTAAGTCACTAAGCCTCAGCTCGTCTCCGTAATCAACAACCGCAAGCAGTTTTCATACGAGGTGTCAGAAAATTCAAAAAGAGCTCATCATTGGCTGGTGTTTGGAAGTTAATAAGAACCTAAGGAAGTTCTAATTCTCAGTTCACAAAACCACATTTTAAACTCACCTGTACAAAATGTTGCTTGATGGATCAGTGACAGAAAATACCTGGAAAAGAAAAAGTCATCTCACTTGTGGGGAAAAAACAAAACAGGAAGTTTTTTTTTACAATACAGCCTGAATGCAGCCTGGAAGTTTGGAGATTTAGGGCTAAATCCAATTGTTTGTCCCAAATAAAACAGACCGCCTCGGCTGACAGGGTCTGAGTTTATTTCTCAACATCGCTAACGTAGCGTATTGTTTCTAAAACTAGTCTGGACCACTCAGGAAAAGCAGCACGCATGCACGCATACACACAAAGGGATCAATGCTTGATAAGTAATACAGTTGAAGGTAATTCAAGCCGGAGCTTTTTAGATAGGAATAAAGTCCACGCTGCCACTATTTTTAGACATCTTGAGACTCAAGTCTCCCATTTATACGTTTGCCACCAATGGAAGCACCAGTTCCCTCTGCTTTATTAGAATAAACACGGGCCCATGCCAAGGTCAAGCACCCTCTCCCTCAGCCCACAACACCTTCTAACTTACAAAAGTCTGAATTCCATAACAGCTGCTTTAAATATTTATTCATTGTATAGACTTATATACTGCCCTATTAGTGTAGTGCACTACTCTGGGTGGTTTACAGCAAAATAAAAAAATTCAACATATATCAAAACCAGGAAACAATCACAAAACACAGAACTTTTGACATTCTGACTATATACACCACTGGTACCTCACCCTCTTCCCAGACCTAAAAGCACCAGTTCCTTTCATTTATACTTTTGCCACCAATGGAAGCACCAGTTCCCTCTGCTTTATTAGAATAAACACGGGCCCATGCCAAGGTCAAGCACCCTCTCCCTCAGCCCACAACACCTTCTAACTTACAAAAGTCTGAATTCCATAATAGCTCCTTTAAACATTTATTCATTGTATACACTTATATACTGCCCTATTAGTGTAGTGCACTACTCTGGGTGGTTTACAACAAAATAAAAAATGCAACATATATCAAAACCAGGAAACAATCACAAAACACAGAACTTTTGACATTCTGACTATATACACCACTGGTACCTCACCCTCTTCCCAGACCTAAAAGCACCAGTTCCTTTCAAGGTACTATTGTATATTAAAAACACTTACGATGCAGGATACCCTCAGTCCACCATGGAAGTCAAAGCCCTCAAGGCTACCACCTGCTGCTTTCTGCCCTGCTGTTTTTCAGAAAATCTGCTACTCATTTGGGGAAATCCTTCCTGAAACTTGCCTTAGCAATTCTTGCGCGGGGGGGGGGAGGGAGGGAGAAGCTTTCTTAACTCGTGCATATTTTAGCCTTTCTGGGGGTTTAAAAAAAAAACCTTAAAAAAATTAAAATAGGTCACCAAGTAGACCCTGGGGAGGTTAACTGTTTCTGGACTACAAGTCCAATTTACCCCAGCCAACCAGCCTGAGCATTCTGGGAGAAATAGTCCAAGAAGCCCAAGGTTTTCTCAAGAGATGGGGACCCCAGAAAATCATCTGTTATATCAATACCTGCTCAGAGGCCACCCTTCACATTTTTAAAGTTTTATGTTTTTATTTATAACATTTAAATACTTAAATATGCTCATTACATTAAATATGTACACATACTTTTATGGCTTTGTAGCCGATGAGGTTGCACGCAAGGGCATAAATTGGACCAAATATTAAAAACTGCATTTGAAATCAAATGTAAATGCATATATTTCTTTATTTTATTTATATCCCGCCTATCTGGTCGGGTCAGGACCACAAGTATAACAACAATACAATAGTAATATCATAAAACCAACGTGCTCCACATGTGAAATTAACTTGGAAGCACTGACTAAGCAGGCGCGTCCTTCTAGGTCTCCTTTCTGGGCCTCTTAAGGCCAAGTAATCATTACACGCATTTAGACCAAACACATTTTACAAGTAAAGGATCTCGGCTCCTCAAAGTCAGCTTGCAATATTAAAAACGAACCACCTTGCGGATGGTTTCGCCTCCGATTTAGCCATAATAAAGCCTTTCCTCAGCCGAGGACCCCAGAATTAAGCGCCCCGTTTCCTACCTTCCTCACCGGCCACGCGGGAAAAAAAAGAACATGGCGGGCATTCCGCGGCTTTTTATAAACTCACCCGCTTCCCTATTGGCTGGCGCAGGTAGCACGAGGGCGACCAATCGCGTGGTCCACTTTAGTTCTTCCTCTGTAGCCAATTACCTTTCACCTCCGTTCGCAGGCTCTTTTCCTATTGGCCGCCCTCCTCCGCCGCGTCGCCTGATTCGAGCCGAGCCAGAGCCGCGCATGGGCCGAGAAGCGCAGGAGGGAGGGGGAGAGGGAAACAACCATAGAGAGGCCGGCGGCCTCTTGGCGCGATCGTCACCCGAGCCAATCAGAAGCAAGGGAAATGAAGCAGCGTCGGCGCCCGCGCGAGGCCTGACGGGAGTTGTAGGCCGGCGCCCCTGAGGCAAAACCGTGAGGGGAAGAAGGAGGCGAAGAAGCCGCCGCTCCTGTGAGCGAAAGGAAGGAAGGAGGCGAAGGCCGCTTTCC